GTGACCAAATCGATCGGGTCCGATGGATTTGAGTGAGCTAATTCGTCGGGTCCGATGAATTTGAGTGACCTAATCCGTCGGGTCCGATGAATTTGGGTCGGCTAATCCGTCGGGTCCGATGGATTTGACTGTGCATAGGCTAATCGGTCGGGTGTGATGCACGAGTGGCTTTATATACAGAATTAATGCCTGCTCTCAAACAGTAAGGGTGTGTACTTTGACCTCGGCTAAGTTGATTTTCGAATTGACCATCCTTCGCAAGAGATGTTGAGCTGGGACGTCAAATGTCACCCGAAGTAACACCGTGCACCTGACGAGGAGGACGACCTCTCTTCGTTTTCGATCGACGATCCGGTGCTCCCAGAGACCAACAAAATTTATTTGGAAGGCATAACGACCATACAATACGCAAGGTAATACAATACGGAAATTTCACGGAGTTTTTGCCAAATCTTCCGTGTTCTTCCGTGTTGCCTCGTCACATTACTCCAGAAGCCTTTTCTTTCGTGTTTCCTCCGTGTCGTTCCAGATGTTTCTCCCTTTTCTTCCGTGTTTCTTCCGTGTTGCGACATCCGGCAAAAAACTTTCGTAAAATCTCCGTGTGAAAACACATGGCAATCTTAAAACTTCCGTGTTTTACGTGTTGGCTAATCCACCCAATCACACAGCTTCATGGAAAAGCGGTCTCGAGTGTCACATGCCGCCATGTACTTATCTAAGCGAATTTCAAGGACGCAAGCTCGAAGATACGACGAAAACTTCGAGAAATCTGATACCACCATCCCTCGCCGCCCCGATTCTACATCGGATCGCCGGCGCCCCGGTCTCCGTTATCCGGAATCCTCCGTGATTTTGGACATAGCCTTGGATGTAGCCGATAAATCCTGCCCTTGATCGGAAAAGCCTAATTTGGGTCCTTTTTCACAAATCCCTGATTAGATTTAATCTAATCAGGGATCTGTGAAAAAAGGACCCAAATTAGGCTTTTCCGATCCAGGGCCGCAGATGCCAAGTCGACACGCTTGGAAGGACCAGGGAGCGCATGCCACGACGGACGACGGGCGCTCTAGAGTAGATTTGTGATGACTATAGTACACACGCAGAGCGCGCTCGTGTTCTTCGCCTATCGACACGGTAGGCGCTATCACCGAGGTCGAGCGCCCGCTACCTCGTCGCGCCACCAAGCAGCCGCTAGTGAAGCCGCACGAGGCGTGTGGGAGAAGCAGCGCATAGAGGGCGTGCGCCGCAGCATGTGCGTCTTGCCGCAGCACGGGAGGTTTGGACAGAAGTAACCGCTTGCCCCGGCGTGGACTGTCTACTGCATGTGTGCGCCGACGCGATATTGTGCCTGCATAAACCGCTGCGCTGATCAACTTAGTTGCTAGGAATGTCGATGCCAACATAATCAACAGAAATACGAAAACAATTAGTCGTTAGAAAAGACAAACGGCTACGCTACGAGAGAACTCACTACTTGTTGGCTCGGCGCTTCACACGACGCTCGCGCTGACCTCGGTTACTCGTCATTCTCACGCTTCCGACGGCGCTTGACTCGCGACGATTCCGCCAACGTTGGTTGCAAGCCATGCTCACGCTGCAGGTACGCGACAACGTCATCACTGAGGTTGGTGCATGCGGCCTCGAGCACCTTGTGCATGTAGTCGGGCGCTTTCGGCTGCGTGACGAGCCAGCGCAGAATCTGGAGATCGCTGCTGGCAGCGGCTTGGCACATGGCATCCTTGAGCTTCGCTTCGAGTCGATTTCCCAAAAGGAACTGCACGAGCGCGAGGTTGCCGCTCTCGACCGCGACTTGGATCGTCGCCTTGTTGAAGCCGTGTATTGTAGACTACAGTACAACGCGCAACGGCCACTTGGACTTGATCAAGTTCTTGCACACGCACGACTACAGTCTGTAGTCGTGCGTGTGCAAGAACTTGATCAAGTCCAAGTGGCCGTTGCGCGCCGCCAAGTTCACGTAGCGAGACGACCAACCGAAGATCTCCTTGCGCTGCGCAAACTCGACGACAGCCCGTGACCATGGCGACAAGCCTCCTTCCAGACGAAGCGCATGCCGCAGCCGAGGGCCAACGACATGCCGCGGCTCCGACGTCGGGTCCGACTCGGGAAGACGGAAAACCTCGAGCTCGAGGAGCCAAGCGAGCACGGATCGACGGTGGGCCGTACGTGTCGACAAAAGCCTCCTGGTCGGGAAAGGCCGCCGGCGAGAGGAGCGCGAGTTCAGCAGTACATCTAATCCGACTACCACGAGAGTCACCGTCACTGTGACGGCACAGAGCCTTCCACGCCTCGTAGGCCGTGGAGCACATCTTGATGAGGTGGTGCAACGACGGGCTGAGCGCCGAGTAGAGGATCGCGAGGACACGCTTCTGCTCTTCGGCAGCGCAGAGGGTGAAGAACCACGTGCGTAGCGTAGTCGCATAGAGATCGAGGTCGTCACGGCACATCCGGGACTCCTCGGTCGTCATGTTGTCCGGCGCAGGAAGGGCGGCCTTGGCCGCAGCTTGCGAGGGCGCAGCGCTGGATTGCGACGCCTTGAGCTTGAGCTCGTTGCGCAAGTACGACGGGTCCGTGAGGTAGCCCTGCATCAAAAACGTAGAGAACGTCGCCGCAAAGTCGCGCCACTGCGAGATGTGGCGACACACGGGGTCAGTCCACGTGACCGCAATGCCCGTGAACGGCACCAGGTCGTCCGGGAGGACCGTGATGACGGGCATCGTACAATCGGGGCTCCAAAGCGGCACGACGGCGCGAGTCGGACGAACCGCGACGGGCGGCGGCAAGTTGGCGCGAGCAGGCGTGGGTGCATACAAAGAGAGATTCGAGAACACTTCGACCGAGGTGCTACCACCAGCCGGAGACGACACGAGCTCGGTGACCAAAGCAAGAGGCTGCGAGAGCAGCACTTCGACGGGCGTAGAGAGGGCCATAACCTGTCAAGCTGGCACTTGGGGCAGCGAAGCACAAAGCAGAGGAACGAAGCTAAGAAGAGGAAGAGGAAGCAAAGGAGGCAAACGGGCAAGCGGGAAGCAAGCCAGAACGGAACCAAAACAGAAGTGAGGGACCGTGAGGTCCCCACGACCTATGGCCCGGAATGTATTCAGGACATTATGGGACATACAAACTACGAGAGAGGTGGGCAAAACCTCCGAGTGGAGGGAAATAGCCCCAACCTCAGTGGGAAAACAGCCAATGAAAGGGGCTGGACAAAACCACTCGAACGAAAAGTGACGAAGGTGTGTCATCTTCGTGTCGGCTGACGAGCCTCTGGAGGTGCTCTCCTGACACGAAGGACGTCGGCATGATTGCGGGTCGCCGCTTCAAACACGACGTGGGGATGCATGTACGACGTTGAAGGCCCGTTTGTCCGAAAGAAGGGCGCGACAAGATCGGGGCAGCGGTACGTGGACGCCGTTGCGAACTCGAGTAGCCACCCTTGGTGGTATTGTCCGGCTGTAATCGTGTGCTGCGCTGCGAGCCATCGAAGCACTTCCATGTCTTCAACGTCAAGCGCGTACACAAGGAGGTGTACTTGGCACAGCTGAGCGAGCTCCAAAGTACCCCGTCGAGCAAACCACGGCTTGAAGCGGGCGTGGAAGGCGTCGGGCGTGGAAGGCGTCGTACGAGGGGCGGCCGACCAACACGGAGCAGCCGCGGCATGCCTGACGGAGTGCGCATACGGCCTCCGTTATGCCATTCGAGAAGCTCGTGATCAGCCGGATAAGATCCTCCGACCGGAGGACGCCCATGAAGCCCGTGGCCATCATGCTATCTTCCGCTCGGTAAAACACTGTTTTCAACACCAGTTGGCGAGTAGTGGTAAAACGTCTGTTTTAAACACATAAAAACATAGGTAACGCAGATTGACTTCATGCAGCCACGTCAAAACTAGCATTCTACGTACGCTAGCCACCTCTATCCCATGGTCACGCGTATATCTATAGGCTGCTTCAGCACTCGGCCTCGCCAACATCGACAACGTTGCAACTTCCCTGCAGCAACGTCGTGACAACGTCGCAACAGCGTTGTGACAGTCAAGACGTGAGCCTCGGACACCCACATCAAACCGGTTAGTCAAGCCGGCTAGCTGACGCGGTTATTCAAATCGACTAGCCGAAACCACTACGGTTTCTGTGCCCAAACGTGCTCAGCCTCCGAGCTGCCACGTCATGCAGCGTCCTGTCCACGTGCATCACTATGACTGCAGCAGCACGTCGTTGAAGCCCAGTCCCACGCGTAGGCTGTCGACTGCCCCCACCACAGCCGAGCTCCCAAACCACTGCGAGCCACCAATCTCTGCTCCTCCGCTTTGCTAATAGACACCGAGTCTAGTCAACTCACTTCTTCTTTTGGTTTCTCGACCGCAAGTGCTTTCTCGTTTGTTATTTCCATCTCAACTGGCCAACGCTTCCTCTTGTACCCCGGGCAACACGCCGCGATCCTCACGGATCAATGCTCAAGCCTTCCACCTTGGATGATCGATGCCCTTTCCATCCCGACTGCCGTATGACACTGTCGTGACAACCCACAGTCGCAGTGGCAGGAAGCTGTCGAACGACAAGCTTAGCGCATCCAGAGACTGAAAAGCGACCGCGCGATGCGCGTGGAAGTGCTCCAAATAATCAAACCTCCGTGTCACCACCACTTGCGCTACTAGTATGTGTATAGTAGACCTCATGACCACAGAGTGAGGGCCGCGTAATGGAAGCTCGTCACTGCAGTCGCAGCCTAGATTGCAGTCGGTCAATCCCTGCCAGAGCTGGCCGATGGTACCTCATGAGGCTCGCGTTTGGCACCGGGCTTGGCGTCGGCCACTCGCTTCTTGCCGCTCCTGGTCGTATGGATTGGTCGTCTGCTAGTGGGGCTCTACATCCCGCCATCATTCGAGCTCATCGTACAGGACGAGGTCACGGACCTGCGCTGTCGCCGGCGGGGCGGTGGCACATGGAGCACGGGCCGGCAGTTGCCTTCGGTCCCACGACGCTCTTCCCGTGCATCGGTCGCACTTCCACCCGGTCGTTCTCCTTGTCCAGCGCGCTGTCTCGTCCATGCTTGTTATGGCGCCGGCTCGGACGATCGGGAACTGACCAAAGATATGCACTCCAACAATACATATTCCAAATATCGGATTACCGAGGTATGCGGGATTTCCCGCCACATGCGCACGATCCACCGACAACCTTTTTCTCTTTCGACGTGCAACCTGGTACACCCTTGCATGACTGCACCTCCACCTGGAGCACGATAATTGCTACTAGCAATCGATCGACTCGGGCAACACGACTACGAGCAGGTAGTTGGGGATGCTTGCGATTGCCCATATCCAGAGCCTCTAGGTGAATGCACTACGAGTGTCATCGATAGTCCATTTGAACAATCGACGTCAGGTGGAGAAGAAGCAATAGCCAGCGCTTCCTAGCGCAAAGGCGTTCGTACAAAAGGCTCGGACGCTGCTTTTACCAGTGACCTCATTTTCAAACGTACACTGCTCTACCACGATGATGACGACGCCCACCCCGATGCTTGGCTTCCTTGCGCTCTACATTCCGCGCACGAGGGCCAAATCCCAGCGCTACCTCGCCGCTGGCTTCCTCATGGCCATGCTCGTCCGCACCCTCGGGATGCGCCGCGTGCTTCTCGGCCTCCGCCCTTTTGCCTACAAGCTCTTGACAGCTGCCAAGGCAGGGTACGGCACGCAGCTTCGTCCGTTGCCTGACAATGTCGAGACCATCCAGATGCTGCAGACGACAGTCGCCACCCAAGACATGACCATTGCCCACCTCACGACCAACGTCGCCGACCTCCACGAAGCCGCGCGGGTCCAGCGCGTCACTGCTACCGAGATCAGCGCCGACCTCAAGGTCCAAGTACACAATTTGAAGATTCGACTCCACCGCACGACCGAGTGCGCGGCCCAAAGTACCAAGGCGCTGCAGACCGTCGTCGCCTCCAAAGACGCAACGCTTGCCGCCAGAGACAATGTGATCACCGAGCTCCGAGCCCAAGTCGCTGCGCTGCACGAAGCCGCTCGGGTCCAGCGTGTGACGGCTACAACCATCAGCGCCGACCTCAAGGTCGAGCTCCACAATACCAAGATCCAGCTGCACCGCACCGAGGAGCGCGCGCGGCGCGACCTGACCGAGCTCCGCACCGCGTTCAGCACGCT